TTTCTTCAAAATAAATCGATTCTTTCATTAGTTCCATTTTGCACATTTTTGATACTTCACTAAGTATCACTTTGATTTCCATTTTAGCATATTTTTCTCCAGGACAAACATGTCTACTCCGTCCAAATGGTGCTGCTCGATACAGATTACCATTGCTCTCTTCTCTCGGTGATAAATGTCTTGCAGGATCGATCTTTTTCCGGATTTAGATATAAATCCTTAGCATGAATCATAGAAGTTGCAACAATATTTCCCGATGGGATACACTTTCCGTCTGATAATGAAAACTCTCGATCGGCATATCGTAAGCCTAATCGATAATTCGTACTACGTCGGAGAACTTCATGAATGCAAGCTTCAATAAATTGCATCGAATTCAAATATTCCATTGTGAGTGAATCAGTAGATGGTGCACGATCTATTTCATCATGTTGGTGACGAATCCATTCAATAAGTACAAACATTGCAGTTGCAGATGTAGTGAATCATACTGGCAAAAAGGACTGAAAGCAATAAATGCTACAAATCTAGGTGTGAATGGTTGTTCACGTTTTTTAAGTTCTTCTTTTGCATATTTCACTGCTTCGTAAACAATCATTAATGAAGCAAAACAAAATGTTATTTTATGCTCGTGATGAATAAAAGTTCTACTCATTAGACTGTTAGTTTTTTTCTACATTGCATTCAATAATTTATTCGACGCTGTTACCAAGAAAGTTGGACAACTATTCGATTGGTGAGATCAATGAATATTTTACGCAAAATTCTGCATTAATCAAACGCCTGAGTGATACCAATGTCTATATTCCGACTAAAATCTTCACTATTCTCACCGTTGCAATAGCTGTCAAACCCTCTTCATATATTGTCAGTATACTCTCTGCCCATGTGAAAAAAATAAGGGAAATAATCAGATTAAAATCAATTATAATCATACACCTTTAATCGATTTTAATCTGGTTATTTCCCTTATTTTTTTTACATGAGTGTGCACCATTCAACTAGCTGTTTTTCATGGTCAATGATTCGTAACTATCAGAATTAGAAGTGTGATAATTGATAAAATCAAATATAATGGTAATGTGTTGCCTTCTATACTTTTTAAAACTTCATTCTCTTCATTATGTCCTACCTTCGATTTTTCTTATAATCTATACAATGTATAGCAGCAAACTTATTAATAAGTTCTGGTTGCTGTTGTCTTAATTACGAACTGATTATAATTTAGATAGAATTTACCAATGTCACAAAACCATCGTATAGTGACAGTGTCGTCCATGCGGCATTTAGCTTCCATTGACCAAGATATTGAACTTAATAACATTCCTACGAATATCGACGAAACTCAATGTATTGACTCGAATAAAATTTCCTCACGTGAAAAATGTAATTCTGTTACAAATTGGTACCACAAGACTGCAAAAATCTTTGCCTGTCTCAATATAGAAGAACGTGGTATTGAACGAGTATCGTCAGAAGATCGAACTGATTTGACAATTATCAATACAGCAATGATATGGATAAGAAACTGAAGAGTAACGACAATTCAGTCATTCTCGATCTATTCTCCTGTAAAAAATACTTATCAAGACTATTGAATATTTGTTTATTAGGTCAGTGCAAATATAATTATACCATGTTTTGCTGCAGATACACTCGGTCCAGCAGTATTCGAGTTAGATCTCAATAATTCTTTTGTAACCATTATCATTTTTAATCTATTGGCAACATTGTCAATAGCAGGCATGGCTTGTTTTGGTCCAGCATCCGGTCTACGTACAATGATCTTTTCTCGTTATAGTTGGGGTTATTATAGTGCTTCGATAATGTCGATAGTCAATGTTATGTCAGCCATCGGTTGGGCAGTTGTTAATAGTATCAACGGTGCGCAAACATTACGTGTTGTATTCAATGATTCATTCCCTATAACTGTTGGAATAATTATAATTGCTATTATAACGATGATCATCTCATTTATAGGTTATAAATGGATTCATATCTATGAACTTTATTCATGGATACCAGTATTTATAGGATATTGTATATTAGCAGGAGTTGATGTCAAATATTTTACAAATAGTGAAATGGTAATATCCATTAACAATGAAGAAGTCTAATCTCTAATGTGTTTGAAAAAATTCAGGATTATTTCTTCTCATATAGGTATTTCACAATGCAACAATATCCAGCAATAGTAGTACTTTTCGTCTTTAATTATCTTGTGTTCTAACTTTTGGCTCAATAATTTTTGGCACTGCATGTAGTTGGTGTCCGTTTGCAGCTGATTACAATACATATTTTCCTGAAGATACAAGTCAATTAAAAATTTTTCTTCTCACTTATATTAGCAATTTTGTATCAATGGTTGTAATGCAATTACTTGGTGCAGCTGCTTATACTGGGACATAGACAAATCAAAATTGGAAACAAGCATATGAAATAGATAATGTGGGTGGATTATTGCGTGCCATTCTATCACCTCTTCGTGGTTTTGGGAAATTTATATTTATTCTATTTTCATTATCAATTGTTGCATGCAATATACCGAATCTTTATTCATTATCATTATCTACACAAGTTATTGCACCAATATTTAGTCGTATACCACGTTTTCTTTATACAGTTATTGGTACTGCAGCCTATGTTCTATTAGCTATTGTAGCTGCAAGTAAATTTAATGGTGCATTAACATCAGTTATGGGTATATCTTCATATTGGTCTGCAATATTTATGGTTATTGTATTTGAAGATCATATATTATTTCGACGTTGTTCATTTCGAAATTACAATTTTAGTATATGGAATTCTTCTAAACTATTACCAATTAGTTTAGCTGCTATTCTATCGGCATTAGTTGGTGTAGCTGGTATTATACTTGGAATGTCACAAATTTGGTTTAGTGGACCAATAGCAAAAGCTATTGCAGAAGATACGGATATCGAAGGTGCAGATATTGGCTTTGAAGCTGGATTTATATTTACAGCAGCTGCTTTTCCATTATTTAGACTCATTGAACTGGATTTTATTCGACGATGACCATTTCTTTACATACTAAAGAAAAATGTGTTTCACTTTTATTTTATGTTCTTCTAGATTACTTCTGGGATAGGGTGGATGTGGATATGAGCGTTGGTGTGGGTATTTCTTGCACAGCTGTCCACACCAACATCCTAATTAGTTTTAAAAGGATTTTTTTTTCTTATACATTATTGAAGAAAAAGACATGCTCTGGTCTCCTCTTTCGATTGGTAAAAATCGCAGATCTCTAGCTGCTTGCATTCTCAAGTTATTCAAAAAACAGAGGAGCACATTGTATTTTGAAATGAACAATAAGTAAAAAAAATTTTTAAACACAACTTTGCACTTTTCTACCTCCTGCACGGCATGTCAATTGTTGTTGTTTTGTATATATGAGTAGCGTCGATGCAAGTGAAACTTGTATTTTCTTGATAGAGCGAGAGTACTGGTTGTGTAAAGGATAAAAAACACCATCGAAAGAGAAACAGAGAAAAAAAATACTGTGGCAAGAGCAGAAGGAAGAAAGAAAAAAGAAAAAGTGAGTAATTGGAATTTCGTCGATTATTTTTGTTCGTTTTGAAGCTTCTTTTGCTGTATTAAAAGTATTAATAATGTGGTGAAATAAAAATTTACATTTTTGCTTCATTTTAGTTTTTGTCAATCAATATTTCTCTAATAAACAAAAATGTATTCTCACTACGACTCCCGACAAGGAGGAATTACGCGTGATTATGAACAAGTTAATGAATCTTATAATACAATATCAAATACAGGAACAACATATCAATCAGCAATAAGACCACGCGTTACTTATGTACAACGATCACGTCCATTGGTTTTAGGAACTTATCGAAAATGATGTAATATGTGATGAAAGAAAAAAAAATAGAAGTAGTTCAAATATAATTTTCTTGATACTGTAGAATTAATAAGTTCTAGTTTAGAAAATTTAACAACTGCTTATAAAGCTATAGTTGTGAACATATTCATTATTAAATCATCCTAAAACTGTATCAATCTCTTTTGACTAGGAGTGGTAAGCTACTGTTACTATTGATCCAACAGTGAGCAACGAAAAGTTTGCTGGGTCCATCAAGTTTCGAAAATAACTATTAATACTCAAATTCAAAAATTTTGAAAGACTGATCAAAGATTCAGATTCCTCGACCATAAAGATATTTGATCAAACTTTATAAAAAAAATCGATATTTTTTCGAAATGCAGGCTTTCCTTTATAAACTTTCAAAAGTGACTATGGTTTTGACCCGCGAACGGGATATAAGCGGATTTGTAGAAAAATACTTCCTCCACTAACCTACACCTACTTTCTGTTCTGAGCAAAACAAATTACTGTGAAACTTATTGTCACTTTTTTTTCGTAATTTTTCCATGATATAGAAGGAGGTTCATCCCTACTTGAAAAGTCATGTATTGAAGTTATCATAGATGGTTGTAAAGCAGGAGAAAATTTCCATACTTTAAAAATCTGATGACTTTATTTCTATTTATAAATAATAGCATTTTTTCTTCTAAATAGAATATGGATTAAACAAAATTTACTAATTGAAACATCTGTAAAATATATTCGAATTTATCTGGTCATATTTTTTGGACCTAAGAAAAAATTAAGCCGAACTCAAACTATGTTTTCGGCTTGAATAAGTCTATGAACAATATAGTTCGTTGTTGTTTTTTGTAACTAATCGATAATGACTAAAATCGTCAAGGTACATTAGCTTTTTCGTTGTATGTACAGCCACATATAACCATTTACAATTTTTAGGAAGCAATATTCTGAGTTACATCATTGATTGAAATGGAAAGCTTCTTGTTAATAGTTACCGTTTGCATTTCATCAACCAACAATCTTTCCTAGGAATAAAAGCATTTCGATTTATTATGCATCTGATTTCTTCAATATTTTATACTTTAGCTGAAAAAGAACCTAATTTTTGAATGGTTTCTTCGGTAGTGGCGGTGTTATGACACAAGTATATCAAAACTTTCAAGCAGCTCGTGAACGTGATGTTTTTGGTCCAGGCCCTGCTGCTTTAGCTGATTTTTATACAACACGTCAACGTGAAAAACATGAACTTGAACAATTAAATGATAAATTTGCACAATATATTGAAAGAGTAAAATTTTTAGAAGCACACAATAAAAAATTACAAATGGAATTAGATGTATTACGAAGTCGTGCAGGACAGTAAGCATAAATAAAAACTAAAAGACAAAAAACAATTTGATTTTGTTTTCTTTTTCAAGAGACTCATCACGTATTAAAGAAATGTATGATATTGAAAGGAATGAAGCAAGTAAATTAATTGATTCTACAAAATCTGATGCTGCTGCTGCTAATGTTCGAGCACAACAAGCTGAACAAGAAGTTAAACGACTACGAGCACGATATAACGAAGTAACTAGTTTAAGAGAAACTGATCGTGTACTATTCAACGATTAATAGCTGAAGATTAAGCCGTAAAGTTTTAATCTACAATAATTCTTAAAAAATCTAGTAGTAATCATAATTTTAGTGAAGAATAATGGTTAAAGTCAAATATACCCTGTGTTAATATTTGCATATGCTAGCTAGATATTCGATGCGATAGTCAATTACGCCGTGTTAGATTTTCTTTTTTCTTTGTGTATTAATTTTCATCATATTTAAGTGAAATTAATTGAGAACATGTATAATCTTTAGAGATGTGTAGTTTCAGTTTACTGAGAACTGGCACACTGAGCATCGGAGCATTGACTACACTGGACCGTGATACACTGACGCTCTGAAGACACTAGGGCACCAATGTTTACTGATACAGCAGACGAGTCTCTATCAGTAAATGTCAGTGTTCCGGTCTCTTCAGGGCTTCAGTGTTTCACGGTCCAGTGTAGTCAGTGCCCCAGTGTTCAGTACATCAGTGGCATCAGTGTTGGTATCATCAGTTTTTACACTGTAACCACACATCCCTAATAATCTTTATAATCATTTTGTACATGTAAAGAATTTTTGTCCATAGACAGATGTCGTTGAAACCAGAGATCGTCACAGGACAGTTTTTTTATGCCCTGTCCTGCCCCGCCATGAGGGTAGGGCAGGGCGGGACTTGGAAGTCGAGCTTAAATTAGAAAAGATCTAATAACTGAAAAAAGAACTTTGTGACTGTAAAATTTTACACATTTGTTCAATTCCATTTGATTCAAACTTATTTGTGTCGATGAACTTGCAGATGAGGTAAAAGTGATTGAAGATGATAATAATGATATTGTTTTTGTGTTCAGTACTGGAAAACATTTATCAGCATGTTCTTTAAAACGTTTTTCATCATTCATTGTATTGTAAACTTGATTGTTTATACGTTTGAAACCACTATGAAATTCAGGAATTCTTTCTAACTGATTATTACTTAATTGTGCTGGATAACCAAAATACTCTTCACCATGTAGCAGCAGGTGACGATTCGTTCTTTACTATTTGATATTTAGATTCATGTTAAATGACGATAGATCAAAACATCGAACTTAGAAAACTCAATGAAATAATCGAAACTAGAAAGTTTAATTTTAAAAGATTTGAAGAAACTAGAATATTCACATGTTCTAAAATTTTATATAAATATGTTGTGCAAAACCAAGTGCATGTTTGAAACTATTTGGAAGAGGAATATATGAATATACTTAACAAAAAAAATCAAATTGTTCTCTTATACAATTCTGCATTATTCTAAAATGTTTTTTTCCTCTTTAAATCAGCTTGGTATTTGTATGCGAAATTTAAATGAATTATATGATATTCAATATAATAATAAACTATTGTTTCGACGAGATATAATGTCAAAAGTTATGATAAACAGTGTATAACGATATCTATTACAATTGCTCATAACATAAACATACCAACATTATTTACTAGAAAACCTTTTTCAAATAACTGTCTGGAAAAACAAATAACAGGGCAAAATATTTTGTCCTGCCCTGATCCTGCACGACAGGGCGAAAAAATAAGAAACTTGCCCTGTCCTGTGACGATCTCTGATTGAAACGCAATCTCTTTTCTTACTGGTTAAAGTTGTATCCTGAAGAAATATATACAGAAAAGAAAAGCTGTTAGCGCAATCCCTTGCGAGATTAAAAATGTGAAACACGCTGTAGCTGCTATAGCCGAAGTTCTAAAAGATGTTGTTTTTTATGCATACTGATGTACATTTCTTCATAATGGTTTATCTTACATTATAAACTTTCGACAGGATAATACTCCATATATGCTTCAATCATATGCTAGTTAGGTATCATCTCTGATATTTCCTTGAAGTCTTCTGTCACCGTCTATAATGATCCCTGAGTTCTGTTTGCCACGGTCTGTGACGGGTTCAGGTCGTGTCTGTTACGAGCTGTGGGAGGAGGTTGCAAACTTAATTTAGTAGAATTTATATACACTGCAACATATACATTATTTTTTATTTTGTCTATTAAATGTTTAGCCATGATTGAATACTATCTATAGATTGATTAATGCTTATCTTTAATAAAAAAAAATAGTAAAGATATATTTATTCCGTATCATTTTTATAGTATGATTCTTTGCACACATTCAACAAATACTAAAGACTTCATTTTCTTTTTGTGACAGGCATCGTAACATGGTATAAGTTATTTTAAAAAAAGAACAAACAATATGGATGGTACAAAAAAATCTTTCAAAGTTCAATAAACAAGTCCATTTTATAATGTAAAAAATTTTTGAAATTGAATGCTATAATAAATAATGTACATGTCAAGTTTATTTCTTATTCAAGATTTCTATTAAGTTGATGGTTCATCATTAATAACTCGATAGCTCAGTAAATTAGGCTGTGGGTGTGAGACAATAAAGATAACACCCAAATCCGACACCCATATCTCACGTTCACACCCTCAGAAAATGATTGCTCTAATCGAAAATGGGTTTTCAATTCTAAGCAAATAGTAAACATAATTAAATGAAAATAGTTTAATACATAATAAAATTCATATTTTAAAAAATTATAATTTAAAGAGAAAATTGTGCTGCTAATGTTATCTGATAGGCACCTTTTGAAAATGTTACTCAAAAAAAAAAGTTTTTGAAAACTTGATTGTTTTAATTTTCCTTTCATGGCGTCTTTTATATAAAATAAACAAAATACCTGAAATGAGACTCTCTCCCCATGAACTAACTCATCCACACTTCGAACCTTCAACAAACTGAAAATTCTTATGGATTTTAGAAGTATAAGATTCCACTTTAGTTATAATTATATAGTTAGTACAGAGCATCATCTATTTTTTCTTAAATCATCACCAAAATATTTAGCAGAAATGATTGCCCAAATTATGCTAATGATGAATATATATATAGATCTTATCATTTGCTTCAATTGACAAAAAACAATGCACACAGGGCATTTACAAATAACCACCGAATAATAAGTGCATTCATTTCATCAGTCAGTAGATCATTGTGTGCAACATGAATAGATATATTGCATGGCAGGGTTTGTATGTTTTATCCTTCAAAGATGAGCTGTGTAGACGGCGCATAACGAATAAGTGAATAGATTGTATCTTGAAAAAATACTCTGATAAAAGATTTGACGGGGTGGGTGTGGATGATACTCAGACACACACACCCTCAAGTAGCAGTGCTTGGATTTAAAAACAACATCGCCAATGTAGAGTTTCTGTTAAAGAAAAATCTTGAAAAACGACTAATTTTAGCTTTTTTAAAACTTTATAGATTCATAAATATTTTTCTCAAAATAACTTATCGTAAATTTTGCAAAACTTAGAGCAAATTGTGATGATAAGGATTGTCTGTTGTAATGCATTGATTTCATAATAGAACTATCCGAGTTTTTCTCAATATGTATGCAAAAATACGATATATTCTGTGATGAATTGATTAGATCTAGTTTCTTATTCTTCATAAAAGCTTAAATGATAGTATGCATGAAGTTCATCTGTTAACCGACACTCACATCAACACCTTTCTATGATTGAAAGAGTATTGATGATGGATCAGTTTTACGCTATTGAGTATCGCTTTCGAATTCAGATCGATCATTATATTCAGCAAGGAAAGATCTTTTTTAGTTATATCATCATTATCTTAATAGTATTATGATGATTTCACTTTATTTCATTTTGATAATTTTAGCGAAAGATAATTATGCAGTTGATAAATCATGATAATTTACTGTTGTTTGCCTGTTTTTCAATGTACTTCAATAAATCGTAAACTGTGAAGTTATATAAATAATAAACAACTGTCACTTAACAATGGTTGTCCACATCATTGAGTTTAAAGTTTAGCATCATATTGAATTTGATGAGTGGAAATAAAAATGTCAATTATGATCATGCATTCATGTAAAAACGACACATTACCGTGTGTATTCTTTAATTAAGAAAACCAAAAAGATTACCTTTAAAGCAAGAAAAAGAGTATTGCTATTAAAAGAACCTAACTTGTAATCTGTAATTTGCATCTATTTTTATTGGCTCGAAATATAATGTTTCAAATGCTTTATAAAATATTGAAAGTGCTTTCAAATTTTCTAATGAATGGTCGTATCTTGAAGCGTTTATTATTTGCTGATATCATTGGGAATAATGATTGTCTTTTCATCACTACCAATAGAAAAAGTAAATGAAATCTCTTCATGTTGTGTTCTAGGTTGTCAATCGACTACGAAAATATTGTTGATGTTATTGATCATAATATAAAACTTTTACGAGAATTTGATCAAAAATTCCATAGGAAAGTAATAGTTTGCCATGTGTATTGCTAATGCAGTTTCGATAGACAGTGTGTCTCAGGTTGAAAAAAAAACAATAAGTCTGACTCAAATTGCTCATTTCAAAATATCTTTCTCAGAGATCAAAGATTGGCTGTAATCGAGGTAAATTTAACAAAAATAATAACAGACAAATTAATAGAAACCTAAGCGAAATCAGCCATGCATCCGACCTCTGACGAAAGGAAAATTAGTGATGGATTGTTAGTTTTTCATTTTTATATTCTTTTGAACTGTCTTTCCATTCATCAAAGAACTTCAAATATTATCGTTTTAATCATGATGTATGCTGAAGTAATGTTAGCAGGAAAGAAATCTTAAAGTATTTCTTCTTTCTTATCTGAGAAGGGCTATTTACATGTCAAAACAGGTTTGTTACACAACTTAAGTTTCGCGAGTACTACACCAATTAATATTGATGTTGTTTTATCATGCAGTATTAACTCGGTATCATTATTTATCTTGTCTTCAGAGAAAAATTCATATAATAATGCCATGTCGAGTTTAATGTCGTTTGTTACTATAGTTGAAAGTACCACATCAGTAATGTCGTATTTTATTTTATACTTATACATATAACAAAGTGAGTTTTTCCCGATGTTGTCTACATTGATGTACACCGTTTAGTTTAAAAACAAAATAATATCGT